AAAATTTCCTAATACAGTTGAATCAAGATCGGGCTTTTTGAGCAGCAGTCTAATTACCGCATGCTTAAGAGTCTGAGGGACTAAGCCCAAGCTCAGGCAGGAGTTAATGAAGATGACCAACAGAGGGCCAATAGTGTCAATGGCTTCTTTAAAAATCTTCCCAGGGAGGGGGTCCAGGGGGGAAGCCGCGGGTTTGAGCTGAAGCACACATTTTTTAAGTTGAAAGGTGGATATCTAGGCAAACGAGGTGAAAGTATGAGGGGGGTGGGAGGCAGGTAGAATATAAGATGAAGAATGCGGGGTGCTCTGTCTAATGGACCGGGTTTTTTTCCACTAAAGTGCATTAAAAAGTCATTACAAACAGTATTCAAGGCCTCGACAAATACAGCACTAGAGGGATTATTAACCGCATTAATGGTCTTAAACAGCACTCTTGGCTGATGACTATTTTCAGAAATGATGTTGGATAAATATTGAGTCTTAGCATCGTTCACAGCTCTCTGATATGCCCAATGGCTCTCTCAAGATGCCTAGGGAAACTTGCAGACCATCCTTCCTCCATTTACGCTCGGCCTGTCTGCACATCTCCGATGGGCACAAGTGACGTCATTAAGCCAGGGGTCAGAGTTGTTTCTAGTTCTTTTTCTCCTGGCCGGAGCAATAGCGTCCATGATCCAGACACAGGTGGAGTCAAATGTAGACAGGAAGGTCTCTGGAGGCGGAGGGAGATGATGTATTCCAAGGGAGTGTAAGTCCGAGGCCAAAAAGGCAGCTGCAAAGTCAGATGGAAGGTGTAATCATCCCGCGGCTCTGAGAGGGGGCCTTCGGGCAAGAAACAGGCTCGGGTCCCCGTGCCTCAAAACGGATGACACAATGATCAGAGATGGCTAGGTCGGACACATCACTGATGGAGACAGACAGGCCTCGAAAGATGACCAGGTCAAGCGTTCCTCCCCGCTGATGAGTGGGGGAGCAAACTGCCTGAGTAAGATCAAAAGAGTCTAGCAACGCCTTAAAGTCATTAGCTAATTGGTCAGTGGGGCTATTGACATGAATGTTAAAATCCCCACAGATCAAAAAATAGTCAAATTGTGGAACACACCTTGATAGGAAGTCCCCAAAGTCATTAATAAATTCCTTAGACTTGGGAGGACGATATATAACTGCACATAGAATAGGATGGTGCTGGATTAAAGTAAAAGTTAGGATCTCAAAACTGGCATAGGTTTTAACGAGGAGACATTTAAGAGTCTGTTAAAACACCGACGCTAGGCCGCCCCCTCTCCCAGTGAGACGAGGGGCGCTGAAAAATAGATAATCGGGAGGTAAGAGTTCCGAGAAGACATAGTTTTCTTCTTGCTTCAGCCAGGTTTCAGTGACCAAAATTACATCCAAGTCGTAGGTGGTGATAAAATCATTAAGAATAAACATCTTATTATTGAGAGACCCGGCATTGAAAAGAGCGAGGCGAAGCAGACTTAACTTTTCCTGCAATGAATCAGCCCGGTTCAAAGGCCGGAGATTGACCAGAGAGTGCCGCCGATCGGAGCGTCTCACCAGTCGGGAGTAAGGGTGGGGTGAGTCAGCGTCCAGGCCAATGGGCTGCAGGAAACGGTAACTTTCAACCAAGGTCCAACTCGAGGGGTGAAAGCCCCATTTCCTTAAGTTCATAGTCCCCAGTGATGATGGTAGGCAGAATTTCAACCTAGTATGAGTTCCAGACGTCCTTTCGCATCGTCGCCGCCGAGATGCCCGGGAAGGAATACCATCCAGATGTCGAAGAAACGAGGGTATCGAGATAGGCGGGGGTGGAAACGACTTGGTTTGGTGAAAACGGTGTCTGCTCGGACGACTGAGCATAGAATTACGTATTTCTAGGAGTGCATGGTGGTCATATATCAGAGTAGAAATGATGGTATTAACTTCAAACACATAGAAAGAAAATATAAACAGGAGGAGCCAGCGGCCGGCCCAACAAAACGGC